TTCCTTTTTAGTCATATAGCTGGTCAACTGTTTCGGTTATAATACATTCTTGGTTTTCAAATATTAGCAGTTCTGATTTCCTGATGAAGGTAAAGACCATAAGGCGCTTCGGACGAATGAAATTTATAAAGTTTTGTTTTCAAACTTTATAATTAAGCTTTCTTTCTTCATGTGGAAAACATGTAACGAGTGCGCTGATAATGTATATCAGAGATTTACTGGTTAAGAGCAAGTATTAGTTTTGCTCTGAAATATCTTAACCCATATCCCTGTCAGAAGCAGATCTGTCGTCATGTCTCCTTTGTAGCAACTATGTCCGGTCAAAAGTTAGCATACCAATATCTAACATGGTTTGTCTTTATGAACATAATATCATCTGAAAAAGAATGCTTCAATCATATTTCATGTCAGCTGAAAACTTCTGATTTCTTATGATACCAACGGGGATATAATGCCATCAACAATTTAAACGGATCAGTAGTTGTACATTTTCATGGAAGGTACCGTTAAGAAGTCACCCCTTTTTAATTGTGTTATATTGTCATGTAGATTTGAATATGTGTAATTAGTTTTATGTCTAATTCGATATACACAACATCTTATGTGGTTTATATATCTAACTCTGAAGCATCATATCAATTGATATCCTTTTTACCTATATGAAATATGTTCATAGTCCGAACCTTTTTAAAATTTTACCACAATAAAAGGTTATATACATTAATATCTTTATATAAGTGCATGCCTTTGTGATTACTGCTAAACAATATTCATGTAAAACTGTTGTGGTATCTGTTTATTCTAGTATTTTAACAATTTCTATTTTTCAGATGAAAGCAATGTGCCACTAAGTAGATCCTTGCCTCAGCCATTGCCACCAAGAAGACCATTGCCACCACCACGTTTACCTGTACAAGAAATCAACGGTATTTATATGCGCAATACACATACATACAAGGAAGCTATCAACCAGCAACTCTATAAGTTATCAGATCGTCATCAAATTACATTCTTATTCATTACAAACCAAGTGTAAACTGGTAAAAATTTGTACTAGGCTGTTCTGAATTTGTACTCTACCGTTCAGAATTTTACTTTTTTTTTTTTATAAATATTAGAATCTAGTCTAAACCATAATGAGCAGTCTGATCTTGTACTTTACCTTTTCTAGACCAGATCGTAACCATTTTATAGAGTCTGAACCACTTCGACTTGGACTTGAGTCTGGACCATACTCGACCAAGTTTCAACCATACTCAACAATAAACCGACAGCCAGAGTGATGTACTGACTTATGACCAATGTATATATAAATATATGTTGGATGTTATTTTTTTCAAAATAAATTCCATTCATACATGTATATAATATAAGACTTTTGTTACCTGAAATGTTTATTCAAATATAAATGATTTATTACTGAGAAAGAATTTCCGTTTTTGCAGAATTAATACTACGTTGCTGTTTCTTGTTATCTGTATTTACTGCTTCTTATTTTCTGTTTACCAAAGTTTTGTAATATTTATTCTCATTGGACTGTCAGTTGAATTCCACTCACCTACATTAACTTACATTCATGTAAACTTATCTTGAAGATTTGTATTCACATGGTTAACACTTTATCATTTTGATTTTCAAGTTGACGCGACGATCAACTGTTTCGATTATTTGAGAAACATTTCAACCTACCCTCTCGTTCCCTTTATAATAGTGTTAATTTCTATCCTTTTTGATTTGCTGGTCTTTAGGGTAAATTTTATGTAACATATTTTAGAATTTACATCTTGATAAATTCAAACAACCTTAGCTTACTGGTGTTTAAATCTCACATATCAAGGAACTAATTGAAAACTAAGAGAATCGCAAGAACTCCAAAGGAGCAAAACCGGGTGACAATGTAATCGTCTCTTGATATGCATGCATCACCTGCCACCCGAATCCACATTTAGTCAAACGCCATACGATTGGGGTGAGGGTATGTTACTACTGAGAAATGGAAAGTTGACAATTGGAAATATGAAATCATCACGTTTTTATATTCTAGTTTGAAGTCGACCATATGTGTCCATATCGAGGAAAAGCCAGATATAGCATCCTTATTCTCAAGATAAATTGTAAATTGTTTATTTGATTTGATTTGAACTATTATATTGTGTGATTCCATATCATATACATTATGCAAAATTTCAATAGACATTATAATAACTTTTTTTAGTCTGTAAAATGTTAAATTTATGCTGACGCCATTTTCTCTATGTTATTTATTAAACCTTATTACAGCTCATTGACTTGAGTGTGCAGTAATAAACAGGATCTTTGTTACCTTGCTTGCTATCAGATTCAAGAAATGAATATTGTCTTTTCAGTGAAAGGAGCAAAAACTCATCAAAGATACAAGGCTTTTGATTTGATTTGTTACGCTAGACGTGAGTTTCGTCTACATAAGACTCATCAGTGGTGCTCGAATCAAACGATGAAAGGTCCAAATACAACATGAAGTTGATGAGCATTGCGAGCCAAATATTCAAATCTCAAAAAAAAGATTGGCCAAAACGGCTAAGGCCATCTATACCTGGGTGTACATAAACATTAGAGCTTTTAGTAAAGTGCCATTCAATCATCCAATAACAAAATATGTGCTAGTGGACTGTTTGTTTCATTTAAATATTTCCCTCAAAGTCAGAGACTTTTTTTATTTCAAGCTATCCAAATGTTTTCTCTTTGACTAATACAATAATACATGACATAGGCCTATTGATTTTTTTGTTGCTGTTGGTCGAAAGTAGTTTCTAAAATTATGTATTCCAAACACATATAAAAGAGGGCGAAAGATACTAAAGGGAGCCTCTGGCCTTTGTTAGTCTTGTATGTTTTTTTTAATTTTAGTTCTTTTATATGTTTTTGGAGTTTAGTGTGACGTCCATTTTTACTGAACCAGTACACAATTTTATTTAGGGGTCACCTGAGGACCACTTCCGGGTGCGGGATTTTCTTGCTGCGTTGAAGACCCATTGGTGGCCTTCGGCTGTATCTGCTCTTTGGTCGGGTTGTTGTCTCTTTGACATATTCCCCATTTCCATTCTCAATTTTATTCAAACTCATAAGTCGAAAATAAACTGATAACGCCATGGCTAAAAAAGAAAAAGACCAACAGACAAACAATAGCACACAAAACACAACATAGAAAACTAAAGACTGAGCAACACGAACCCCACCAAAAACTAGGGGTGATATGGGGGTGATATAAGCATTTGTTTCCTTCTGTCCATCATTCGTTCATAAATTAGAATTTCTAACATTCACGTAGAAGAACATTGCAAAATATAATTTAGAACCTATTGTCCAGGTAATCAGTCAATATTGGTTTCACGAACACGTCCATTCATTTCAGCGATATCCTTTATCTCTAACTTGAAACCACTATTGCCTTAATAGTTTAGCAGGTCAAATGTACTTATAGATACCATCCACTTTTGTGCCTGAACTTTTTGTAAACATATGTAATGAATCCAAGTGACGGACAGGCATCTGCCAATCATATCAAATCAGATTGAATGATTCTGAGGTCTCCTATATATGGTAAAGCATAATAAATATAATTTAATGATTCCTTATAGATAAGTCATCAAATTTGATACCTCCACATGCGCTTTCTACGATCAAGCATAAGTTAAAGGTCCATTTTCAAATTTTCAACTCAACCACGTTTTTATTTTCGTCCCAAACCAGGAGCTTTTATTTCAGTGGTTTTTATTTGTTGCTTTCTGTCGTTATATTTAGTTTCGTTTAGTTATAACATAAAAAGCAAAAAGCAACCTTATTTTGTTTAAGAACCTGAACAAATACTGACTAGGGTTTTTTTTTATGTCAACCAACCTTTTTCTAACAGAGTATCCAGATGTTCATTAAACAATCTAGTGTTTGTAAACATGCTGACATTGGATCTCAACTAAAATTTGTCAAATAGAAAATGTATAACGCCCAAATTCAATATCCAATGTGGTTTCGAAAATCTAATCAATTGTGTTGTTTGCAATACCTGTAGTGAGGCATACATAAGAAACACATGAAATTCCGTATTAGAAAGATTAAGAGTTCTCAGGCAACAAATAAAGATCCCAAACAGTAAGACATTTTGAATTCCGGAATGTATTGACATGTATTTTCTCCAATAATAAGCAAAAAACTCACATTTAGCACCTATTAATCTTCTTTTTATCAACTCGTATTACACTATGAGGCGCACAAGAAGCTATAAAACGCCCGCGTTTACGTTTGACACCGGAAACATTCCTATGACGTCACCTTGGTTAGATGCCAATGGAGATGACGGAATTTTCGTTAAATAAAAATTTATCACCGAAATAATGACTCAATTTGAATGGTTTGTTTATTTGCATTAGAATAGAGATAACTGTATTGTATTTGAAGCTTTGCGGACGTCCATCGGTAGTTTTACTGTCGCAAATAGCCGTTTACCTGTCTCCGCGTATATTTCTTAATTGCAGTCGCTGTAAACATACGTTTGTTTTACAAAATGAATGAAATAAATGAAAACAAAAAGCTTGCAAAAGAAGCTCACGTCATCAAGAAGTTGAATCCAAATTTAACTATACCTAAACACTCCCATTTCTATTATCAGAACTATAACATTTGTACAAGGCTTGTGTATTAAATACCGTCATGAGTTTGTCTTTCCATTCGTCAATTCGAAATTAAAAAAACAGACATGACATTTGGAAGGCATAATATAAATAATAATACATGTACATATATCAGGCAGCACAAAGTATGGAACTAACACAAACTGGCTGTCAGTTATCAATAACTAATTGTTACATGAAAATACATGATTAAACGATCAAAAATTCTGTTATACAATCATATGGCTATGAAAATGGCATCTCTATCTGTGTTTATAAATTTATTTGTACGATTCAGGACTGTCAATAATATCAAATCCACTAAATGATTTTTAAATATTATACATTTGATATTTAGCGGAGGATACTTATGATGACGTGGATCCCCAATATATTGATGCGTATTTCAAGCACGATGATCAAGTAAGTACCGGAGATCATTGTGAAAACATATTGTTGTTAACATTTATCTAGAGCCTTTTTATTATGCGTTTGAGAAAAGACTGTAGGTAATATGCGATCGGATGAATGTAAATGTAAGAAGGAATTGTGATTCGAAGAGATTGTTCTAGCTGTTTAGATATTTGATTTATTATTTAAAGTTATATTATACTACAATGTACTAGAATTGTGAAGTATCCGAATAAATCTTACTTTATCAGACACATTGATTGCTCTGCTAAATTCATCAGCTTGATTAACTTGAAATAAGCCGATACAAGTTTCAGACTGTATTCTTACCAGTTGAGATTCATGTAAAAGTTCCTCTTTCAATAGAGCTTCTTAATACCATTGAAATAAACTCTAGCTAATCATTTTTTACCATAAAAGCAATTTATATGACAACCAACTCTTAATAATCAAATAGTGAAAACTATTAAACATTTTTAATTTTTTTTTGTCTATTTCTCTATTTCCGTGTGCTCCAACATTTCCCCTGCACTCAATGGAATCTATAGCCATTCAGTCATTGTACAGGTTACAGGAATGCAATTATTTGGAATGCATATAAATAGGGTACCAGTGGTGTTTAATATTCTTTTCTTGAAGAATAAATAAAGTAGAAAAGTGGGTACCAATTCCTGTTACAAGCAATGTGATGGTTGTATTTCAACCAAAAACGTATATGGTCATGCGGCAAAAGTTGACCTGCAATGCAGTTGAAATAGCGTCTTGTTTTTGCACTTAATGACCTTGTATGTTGTCGACTGATTAGTCTGAATATCCCTTTAGTATCTTTCGCCTTTATTTTTAACGGGATGGTCAATTCTTTAAGGCTTCTTTGTAACTATATTGAAAATATGTTCGACACCTTGTTAAATATGAATGTATTATCATATCTGAAGCTACACACAGATTTTATTTTGAGTACTATTTTGGGGTAATTCAAAGGGACATTCAAACTCGCAAGTCGAAAATAAACTGACAATTCCATGGCTAAAAAAGATAAAGACCATAAGACAACCAATAGTACACAAAACACAACACACAACATAGAAAACTAAAGACTGAGCAACACGAACCCTACCAAAAAACTGGGGGTGACTCAGGTGCTCCGAAAGGGTAAGCAGATCCTGCTCCACATGTGGCACCCATCGTATTGCTCATGTTAGTACATACCCGGTAATAAGTCTAATTCGGTAGGTCACATTCGGGAAAAGGGGACGGATTGTAGTTACGACATTAGGAACATATCCGCTATCATCTGTGAAACAGATATTCCATAACGGTCAACGAACTCGTGATGGCGTCCGTAAAATTTACGTAGGGATGATTTCACTTCACCACTTGGAACTCTTGGTTTGATAGCTTCCCTATGAGCAGCAAACCTCTGTCAAGGAAACATAAGCCCTGGAATATCGTATCAACTGGGAGATATATACTCCATATGCAGGTGCTGTTGCAATGTTGCTACAAAGAATTGGGAATCTGAAATCATCTCTTTTGTCGTAAAGTTTTGTTTTCAACCGACCCTCATTGTCAATTTCTAGTTGTAAGTCAAGATATGAGGCAGATTTATCTGTATCTATTGTATCCTTTATCTCAAGTTCGATGAGATAGATGCGTTCAACATAGTCACCAAATTTTGAATTATTTAGTGAGAGGACATCATCTATATAGCGGAAAGTAAAGTTAAAGTATACTGCTAACTTCTTTTCTTTCTTCCTAAGAAGTTTCTGTATGCAGTCAGCCTCATATGGATAAAGGAACAAGTCGGCAAGAAGAGGGCACAGTTGGTTCTCATGGGAATGGCGATTGTTTGTTGAAAAACACGTCCTCCAAACGTAACAAATATGTTATCAATCAAGAAATCAAGCATCTTGATAATATCAGTTTCAGTGAATTTTTTGTTTGAATCAGAGTGATTTTTTACAAAGTAGGATTTATTCCTCCCTAAGACAAGATACTTGTATCTACGTTGGCCATTCTTTTTTATGAAACGAAGCAGGACCAACTCTTTCAATTTGTCTTTTAGTTTGGAATGGGGAATACTTGTGTAAAGTGTAGAAAAGTCAAATGTGTTAATACTATTGCAAGATGAAAGAGTCTTAGATTGTATGTACTCTAAAAGATCTTTGGAATTATAAGAATTTAGCAATACATAATATGATGACACCTTCAATATCGGACTTTGCATCAGTCTGGAACTCCCATAAAACACCGAAAATACTAAAACAAGTAATGGTAAATTTCGTCTATTTTCAATACAATATATCGGTCATTTCAGTCAAAAAAATAACCCTAATTGCATATCTTATCTTATATTTGTATACCATAATTTTGATAAACAATTAAATCCTTAATCTAAAAACTCAAAGATAAGTTGCACGTATTTTGTAAAATAATAATTAAACATTTAGAATTAAAACGAATAGACGTGAAAGTTGCCATTTTCAAACTTCAAGTAAAACAGGTATAAACGGTGTGAGTCAAGGCTCCGTTTTGAAGACCGTACTTTGACCTATAATTGTTAACTTTTTATACATTGTGACTTGGATGGAGAGTTGTCTCATTGGCACTCATACCACATCTTCTTATTTATATATAGCATGAATAAGACAAAATGTGAATATATTGTAACTAAAACAGCTACAACATCATTTTGGTCTGACATTTCTATCAAACCTTCACCTTCAACAGATTTGACTAAGATGATGTTTGTATCACAACAATTACTTTAAAAACAATGCTGCAAGTACAACATTTAATGTTTTGCCACATCACGGAAAAAGACTGTGTGCGCACGCAGGTTTCGCATATTTTGCCAATTGTTAAATAAAAGAAAATTTAGTAATGATTGGGTTATAGGATATTCGTACTAGAAGTCATTCATGACTGTTGAGATAAATCGCTCGAATTCATAAACACATATAAGGTTTTAAGTTCATTTTGCAAATAACTGTTATACTCATAGCTAACTTTTCTTAGAAAAAGTCTCCATAGACGTCTATTTTATGATCCACAATATGTCGCAATATTAACCATATATATTCTAAGTTCTTTTATTAATATTTATTTTTTATTTAGTTTTGCCTATTACCAGTCTTATTGCTTACCTCTGCAATAAATACCCGTATTGATTTTCATGATTTTGATTGTGAGTTTCCTTTCTAAAACGTATTGTCTCTTCCCTAGAAATCGGTGGAAGAATATGAATATCAGGAGTGCCATGCTCAGGTCAACGAAAAAACTGGTAAATAATCATTCATTATTTTGAATTATCTATTCTCTCGTATTGATAAAGTAAAATAATTTTGTGGCAATTTGTGTGTTGACTGAATGCCATACGAAGGAGTTTTCTTTAGTAAATAATGATATTTAACTAACTATGTATCATTCTCTTAAGCCCTATCTGCAAAATTATTTTGGAAAACTTTAATTTTGCTTGAACCTATTCTAAACTACAACTAAAGAATTTTCTTCTCCTTTTTCTTGTCAGTCGTATTGCTAGGTACTTTACTGGTGACAAAAGATAGGTGTGTTATCTATATAAAGGCCACTTATCAAGACATCAAATTGTGAAGACACTGTGTCCCTACGACTTATGGTTTTCTGAGAAATAACCACTTGCGACAATTCTGAAGCTTTAGATGGGACGACCCCGGTCGTACGTTTTCCGCAAAAAGTGTGAAATTGTGACTAGATGTCCAAAATATTTTTCAACATTTATTTTATCTGTATCTCTTGCGCTTTCATACATATTGACATAATAACATAAACGGTACCAATTTTTCTGCACCAGATGCACATTTCGACAATCAATGTCTCTTCAGTGATGCTCGAGACCAAATTATTTGAAAATCCAAAGCTTATTAAAAGTATGAAGAGCTATAAACCAAAAAGGACAAAAAAAGTATAGCCAAAGCCGGGTTATATAGGAAATGGTCATAGTTGACTTAAACTGTGACCGTTTGGCCTTATATAAATCAAATGGTAATAAGTTCAATAATGCAGATCCATGTATCTACGACTTAATTTTCCTATGATGGACACTTTCGATATTCTACAACCTTCTGTCATTACACTCATCGTGAGTTTGTAGTATTACGGGGGAAAATTATTTCATAAAGTTGCAAATTCGGCGATTTATGTCGGTTTTTCATGTTTTAGAATTTACTGTGACTCCCTCGTTTTGCATTCATGTAGTGTATCTGTTTTGATTCATGAGAGAACGACTATTGATGACCTAAGCATTCTAAGAATATTTTTTCATAGGTTCCTTGTAACACAAAATCCAAGGAATACAAGACCACATCTTATCTACATTTTTCTTGACAACTGAAAAGAGTTAATTTATTTAAAAAGTGAATAGATATACGGATTCGACAACAACAGTTTTTTAATTGAAGTTTTTCATTTGAAATTTTGTGTGCACTTACAAATGGTTTAAAACCGCTCAAATGTTGTGGATCTGATTGATGTGCGCTGTTTTACTACCAAGTGTTTTTTTTTACTTCTTTTTTTATATGTATTATATTAAAGATTATAGCTATAGTTCCTTGTGGGATAGGGCACCGCTTACAGATGTACAGCGACGAAACTCCAAAAGGTTAATTCCCGAGGTGCTTACTCGCTTGGATCACGAATCGGTCAGTACTTATCTTAGTTGTTTAAAAGATGGTGAAGAAAGAAGCAATGGGATTCGCCTGGTAATTGTTGGACGGAAAAATACTGGAAAGACATGCCTAACCAAACGACTTTTAAAAGAATCATTGGAAAATGTACAGAAAACAAATGGAATAGAAATTCATACACTGAAGTGCAGAGGCAAAGTGGAGGAACGGGGGTGGATCTTTCAGAATGGTTAGTTTACAAAGAATTTAACAGTAGTTATATATCTTTTTCCCCGTATAATGCGTTTACGTATATCAGTTGTTATACAAATAAAAAAATATGGTCTGATTGCCGATGAGACAACTCATTAACTCTTGTTAATCCATTTATTTGACGTTATTATGATTTAATTTCTGAAGGAATTTACTGTAGTCTGTACAGATATTCTACTACTATAACTTAAAACTTATCAACTACTTACCTTTCAAAAACGAAAGTCACTCGAAAGAATCGAACTTTAACGCATTTTCTGCATTATAGATTATGTCCTCTCACTGAATAATTCAAACTTTGATGACTATGTTGAACGCATCTCTCCCATCAAACTTGGATTAAAGGATTCAACAGATTCAGTTAAGTCTTGACAGAAAAGGTTGGTTGAAACAATACTGTAGGACAAAAGAGACGATTTCAGCTTCCCATTTGAGAAATGGGATGATTTCAACTTCATCACTTTGTTTAATAGCTTTCTTTTAAGCAGCAACCCTCTATCAAAGAAATCATGATGGATAATGTAAGCACACGAATATTATATCAACTGGGAGATATATACTTTATATGCAGGCGCTGCTGGAATGTTGCTACATAGAAATAAGTTGAAAACATTCCATTGAAAACTTTACGGACGACATCACGAGTTGGTTGACCGTTATGAAATAAATAACAATGTTTCAAAGATGATGACGGATATTTTTCAATTGACGTTACCACAATCCAGTCCTACATTACTCCAATGTGACCTACCGAATAAGACTTATCACCGGGTTTGTCCCTTTGTTATCTTCCATCTGTTTTTATACACATGGAGGTAGTCGTTACTATGTAAATATGATTTTGGATTATGTTTACAGAAAATCTTCAGTCGTGAGCAAATAAATGCTACAAGAATGGCAATCATCATCTTAGAAATCCTGACCAATGCCTTATATGACCTGTTAATCTCTGATTGTGGTGGTTTCTCCGTTAAACAACGAGAAGAATGTGATATAACATATTTATATGCACAACTACGAAGGAAAAACAAGCATATTCCATGCCATGGCTGGGGTCGTAGGTGGTCTGATATTCAGAATTCTAACATTCTGATTGGTGACGATATAGAACGCATTAGGTTAAACCGAAATGATATGGCTCACTCGAAGAAGTTCTCGTTGGATGACAACAAATATTATGATCTATGTGGTATATTAGAGAGAGTTCTTCATCGTTTAGAAATATATAACGGGAAAGGAAAGCTCTACACAGACGAAATGAAAAATGTGAAAAAGAAAGAAACAAAATCAATTGACTGGCAAACTTACCAAAAGAAAATAACTTCTGGTAAGTTAATATATGTGGGGGGAAGGGTTATGAGTTGTTGGTTAATGTGAGTAACATACTCCGTACAGTGATCGTTTCCGTTCCGGAACTATTTTCCTTTACTCCATCAATTAGTGCAAGTAGTATGCGGATCGGAGCTGGAACTGTCGGGGAGATTGTGAGAGAAAGTCTTTTCTTGTATTTGAAACAATTTTCATAGAGTATACCTTATCTTCCAATTTACATCAAAAAGAATGCTTTTTGTGATGTAGAATGAAAAGATGTTCATTTCAAAATACCGAACGAAATTTTCATTTCGCAAATTTATTTCTCATCTGATATGCTCATAGGGATTTTCTCATCAAAATGTGCCAGAAGTTATTTTGAGCTATGTGACCGTTGAGTGCAATTCTATTGATATATCTAATGTGAGTGATCAATATTATATTTTTTTCATTCCAATGAGTTTTGATTGATCTTATGAGATGATACTAGGTTGCGAAGTGTCCTTCAGACATTTACTTCTCCTCTACCTTTTTATTTAAATAAGCCCGATTTGAACTTCTTTGAAATAAAATATTTGAATTTTTACTTTGTCAATATGTCGTTGTTGGTCTCGAAATACATATAGTACATGTAGGAATTAAAGCTTAATATGTAATTTATCATCATTAAAACATCAAACATTAATTTCCATTGAACGGTATAAGTCTGGAACCTGTATCTGCATGTTAATTTTTTTCATTTAAACTTAGAATTTCCACGACTGAAGATGAAGCCTTCGTTTGAAGTGAAAGTCGGTGGCGGATGCACACTTGAATGTGAAAAAGTAGTACCGTTGCCCAATGGTTCGACGGTGTATTGGGTTAAGGAGAAAAACTCCAAAGTAGTAGAGCTGACAGTTGATGAGACTACATCAAACAAATACAAAGGATCGCAATTCGATTACCCATCACTTAATATATTTTGCGCAACAAAAGAAGATGAAGGACACTATTCCTGTAGAATACGATACCCTAAAGAGAGCGCAGAAAGCATGGACGAAAATATTACATGGCCTAAGACATGTTTACATGTGAATAATTGTAAGTTCAAAGTTATCCACCAACAAGAATATAGATATACACGCAAGCAACATTTAAATGCACATTACACTTTAAAAGCGCCATTGCAATATGCATGTGAGTGCTTTTTATAGTTCGCTATCGATAAGAGTTTTGCTCATCGTTAAAGGCCGTACAGTGACCTATCGTTGCCTATATCGACATCATTTGGTCTCTGATGAATAGGTGTCTCATACGCAATCATACCATATTTTCTTATTATTTTTTATTAAACTTCAAATTTTAAAATAACCACGACAGAGCATTGAAAGCCACTAATAATTGATAGTATTTATCATAGAAACAAGGCGTTTTCAATAACCAGAATACCAAGCAAAATTTAAGGTCATGAGGGAAACAATCTTAAAACATGTTAAAGGCTGTACGGTGACCTATAGTTGTTAACTTCTATGTCAATTGATCTCTGATGGAGATTTGTCTCATTTTCTTATTTTTATAAGAATAATGTAAAATACGGAGATGTACATGATAGCCACGTCTCTGAGGCGTTTTATATTTGAAATGGCCACTTTACATACTCTATTATTTCGTAATGTTAAGCATGACAAAGGTCTTCCCTTGTACAAAACATTAGGCCTTAAAGGGGCATTTGCTGTCAAATTCATGTTCACTAATTTGACTAAAATTCTCAAATTTGGTTAATAACATACTAAAACGTATATTCAAATTACAAAAAGTCTAAAATAAACCATTACCAATGTATGGACTCAATATTATGTATCAGCAGTTCGTGCGTATTTTAGTCTAGACGTCATCTAATTAACCATCGAGATTACTTCCGAAGAAACTACCGACGGTCATAAAACCCGATATAAACATAAATATAAATAGATAGCAAGCACGTGCGATTGTTTTTTTTCTAGTTCTGTTTTATTTTATGCTATAGGTTAAACAAATATGTTAATCATCGTTTTTTCCTAATATGTCTGTTGGTTTTGTACGATTGTCATGCGGTGAGGGGTTTAGATAGCTTTAAAATCTGGTTTAATCCACCATTTGTCTACATAAGGAAATGTATGTACCAAGTCAGGAATATGACTGTTGTTCGTTTGATGTGTTTGAGCTTTTAATTTTGCCATTTGATAAAGGACTTTCCATTTTGAATTTTCCTTTTGAGTTCGGTATTTTTGTTATTTTACCTGTTTAAGAATGATTTTTTGGTGGATCGAATATGTCAACGAAATGGTTCATCCTTGTATCATTTTCAATGTTGACATTCTTTTCCTTTTAATAGCTGAGCACGCATAGTACCTGAAGCAAAAAAAAATCGTATTCTAATATTTTGTCTTAATCGTAGATATTGCCCCTTTAATACACCAGCCTCGAGTTGTTTTATTCGAATGAGTTACACCAATTGGTCCGAGGTCAATCGGCGTAAAAGACGTCATCGAACAATTGATTATTATTGTGACATTATAACAAACGTTTTGTGACATAGGAAATGTACGGGAACGTGCACGAATTCGAAAGTCGTCTATGAAAGGTTTAGTTCCTTTTTTAAGTGTTTTATCATTATGTTGTTCCTCAATATTTGATACACTGATATCGATCAAAATTAATTAAAATAAAAAATAGCCTAAAAACGTTTAAAAGTACTTGCTTAAAGCGGCAAATGCGTCATTTTAAGTCGCTAGTATTATCAAAGTTTGATTGTTTGGTGTAAAGCTTTTAATTTCCTTTTATGTGGAAATATGGTAAGTTTTGAAGACTTTATGCTGAACTGTTGTTTTAGTTTTATTCGATTGCTGTGTTGCTCTCTGGCTGACGTTGATTCACAATTACTTTTGTTCATAGTAATAACTTTTCAAAAGATTATGTGGTTTACCAATCAAAAATCTTTTTTAAATACTTAAATGATTTTTTGGCGAAAATATGTCATATAAAAAACTCGCAGCAGTTATTTACTATTGTTCAAAACGCCTTTTAAATTAAAGAAACCAAGAGATAAACCTGTGGGTATCATAAAGACGAAGCCAGACCATATGGTCGTTTCCTGATACAGGAATACATACATCACGACGAATCCAGGATTTATCAAAATCGTCACTATTTGGAACAGTATGCATTTGTTTATTATTTTTATTAGACAATACATCTTCCGATGTATGATCAAAGGAGGATGCATTCCTGAGTTAAAACACATCGCATCATTCAAATAATTCGTGGCAGGGAATGCAAAACGTGTTCGATTTGGATTACAGTTACTCTTTTTCATAAACCAGCTTTTTATACTAGAAGAATATTAATGAAATCCGTGAAAAGCACACCCATAACAGGTGCATGAAATGATTAACTGCAATACGATTTGGCTACACTACCAACAATTTGCCTAACGTTTACATGTACATTAAATGCCGCTATATAAATAGTACTTTTAGGAATCATAACTATTCAGTACATTAAATGCCGTTATATAAACAGTACTTTCAGGAAACATAAATAATCAGTACATTAAATGCCGCTATATTTACAGTACTTTTAGGAAACATCGCTAATCAGTACATTAAATGCCGCTATATAAAAAGTACTTTTAGGAAACATCACTAATCAGTACATTTATTTATATATCATTTTTAGTAATGTTGAGAAAAAATTGTTTTCAGTACTGAAAATTTCGGTCATTTTTCAGTACTGAAAATTTCAGTCACTTTTCAGTACTGAAAAGTTCAGTCACTTTTCAGTACTGAAAATTTCATTCATTTTTCATTACTGAAAATTTTAGTCATTTTTCAGTACTGAAAATTTCAGTCATTTTACAGTACTGTAAATTTCAGTCATTTCACAGTACTGAATATTTTAGTCATTTTTCAGTACTGAAAATTTCAGTCATTTTTCAGTACTTAAACTTTTTGTCATCTTTAAGTTAAGCTGAGTTTAAGTTCTTCTACACATACAATATTAGGTCAATGTCAGAAAAATATAAAATGTTTGTATGAGGCTGAGAAATGGGGGGGGGGGGGGGGGGGGGAGGGGGCGAGGTTTTACTGAGCACTCCCCCAGTTTTGTGCCGAATACAAAAAAGTTTATATCTTTGACCTAATATTGTTTTTATACTGCAACTTAAATTAATACATTGATAGCTTTTTAAATCGTAACTATTATATAATAATAACATAAATATCAAACTTATTTTTATCCCCTAATGAACCCCTGATTGTGGAGAAAGTGTTCCATGATGAAATTGACATTGCACAAAATATAGAAATCAACGACAACGGAAGCCCGCAATAGAACGGTGTTTTAATCTTTTGCTGACGACAACTTCAAAATCTACTCAGGACCAGGATTCTTTAAGGTAAAGTTACGAAAAGTAGTTCACATTTCATTTGGTTAGTATGGTATGGTGGTCATGAAGTTTAATATGGTGTTCAAACTTGGGGCATTTTAGTTGCGTGCAAGACAAGCCCGCTCTGGGACAACTCGGACCGTCTCAAAAAAAGACAACTCGGACCATCTATAATGACAACTCAGACTAAGTTAAGGTATAAAATTAAACTTTGGAAGAAATAAATGATTTAAGGAAAAATAAAGAGTCTGAAGGGAAGTATCTAAATTGATACTTTTTTTATTCCAATTTTGAGCATGTTGAGTATATATAAAATTATAACGTCAACTAGGAGCGTGTTATTTTGTTCTTCGGTAGAGAGCCAGAAGAGGTCCGTTTCTGTTTTTTTTTTTTTTTGGCATTGGGAAGATCTTCTGGCATTCTTCTTCCTCTTCTTTTTTAATATGTAGTTTAGACGGCAGAGACACATAACAAACATCGCGTCGCTTAGTCTAAATGACAATAATAGATTTATAGATGCAGAAATGATAAAATATGAGATGTGTGATAAACGTGTTTATGGTATGGCAACCTTAGTAGGACACTATAAGGACAACTAGCTGGATAAATAATAAAAACACACGGATAATAACAGTAAGGGTACGACCTTTTGATATTCTAAGGAGGGGAATTGGGCAGGAGGATCTTCTGCGGAATTTTTTATTCATTTAAAATTTTTAACTTGTCGCTAAGCATGCTTATTTTTTCCAGCTCTTACCAGGCCACCATATTCGTATTCAAAATCCTCCTGCCCCGCCCCCCCCCCCCCCCTCCTTTTCCCAAAAAAATCAAATGATTTTCTCCTTATTTAACACGAGTTTAAATTGATTGATTGTTGTTTGTTTGTTTTTAACGTCCAGCGACTAATATTTCATACATGTTTAGACAAGACGCGAAATTAAAAGTCATGTATAGAATATCAAAACACAAGTAAGGAGATGTGGTATGATTGCCAATTAGGCAACTATCAACCGGAGTTCAATGAAGTAGCGTTAGCAATTATAACCAACCGTGCGGCCTTCAAAAATAACAAATACCCATACAGTATATCAGTTATAAAAGGCCCCGACATAAAAAATGTGAAACAATTAAAACGAAATAAACTAACGGCCTAACGATATATAACAAACCTATTCTAAAAAAATCAAATATGAGTCGACAGATATGAACAAACAATAACCACTAAACTACAGGCTCATGATAATGTGGCAGGATTCAACATGTCTGTGAGCGCTCAACCCATCCCTAAACGTAGACAGTGGTGTAATAGTACAACATAAAAACAACGTGTAAAAGTCAGTTGCAATTGGATTAACCCAAAAGATCGGTACGAGACACATCAACAACTAATTAACATTAACTAAAGATGATAAACGTGAAACACCGAAATAAGAGTATTTGTAGTAACTGAAAACTTGTTAGAAGCCAATTAAAACCAACATATAAATCATGATCTTCCAGACTAAAGTATCAATCAGTGGCGGATCAAGAAATGTTCATAAGAGGGGTGGGGCAAGAGGAAACTCGCTCTAATCATGCTTCAGTAATTCCCTATATAATCAACCAAATTTTTCCCACAAAAGGGGATTGGGCACCCCGCCCCCAAAATCCGCCTCTGTCAATCATTACATACACA